GGGGGGGGGGGGGGGGGGTTCTTATTCTGATGATAGTAGAATGGGCCCCCCAAGACTGTATTCTAACTATCAAGGCTTCTATATTGGAGTTTTTGGGCTCAGGGTCTGAGACCCGGAGAAGGGTTTTGGCGGTCTCCGGCGCTTCAAGTTCAGAGGTTCACAGATGGAGAGCTCTGCAAATGACTTCCATAACATTGCGGTTAAGGATGCTACTCCGACTGGTTGCACCATTACCCGTGACTGTGACTGCCAGGTGGCAAAGATCCGGAACTCCGAAGGCACACTGCCGGCTGCGTGCTGCCGATGAAGTTCTTTTCGTTTTCGGCCTTTGCCAGGAGACGACCTGTGTGATGTGTCGATCAACAACGTCGCCTTCTCAGTGCTGAGTCCAAAGCAGCAGGGAAGGTGGACGGGGAAGCAGGGCGTCTTGGAAACTCTGGGAGGTCGCAGCGCTTGAGAACTCCAGATTTGTGGCTGCGATGTCGGGCTTGGACGCGAGAGTGCCTTGCCAGGGCCCAAAAAGCTACATCTACAGAAGTTACAGAAGGCTTGCAAGAAACCCCTAAACCCTCAACCCTCAGCCGCTTTGGTCCGCACAAGGCTTGGGACGTTTCATCAAGCACTGGGCCTCGCAGTCGTGTCCTCAAACCGCAATCTCGGATGCAAAGGGAGGCTTTTGAAGCTGAGCAGGCGGCGGATTAACAACCGCTCCGAGGGGACCTTGAGCACCTACACCCTGATACTGCCAGGGGCCCTTGATCAGACTTCAGGATTCTATAGTCCTTTCTGGCTTCTTCCTCTTTGGCCGAGGCAGCTCTTCTACTCCCTCCAGCTCCGAGATCCACCTGTGCTGCCGCGCGTGACCTGCATGCTTTCCCAGGATGTGACCCCGCCTCAGAAGGGGCATTTCAAGCTCTCCCTGGCTTTGGCTCTTTGACGGTGACTTCCCGGACGAAGCCGAGGATGCGTGAGAAAGAGAGCGAGGACTCTGACTCGGATGTCACGAAGGCCTACGTCGCTTGACCTATCAAGACCCCAGCTAAACATGAGAAAGCATCTGAAGGTCTGGAGGCTAAAATCCTTAGAATCTAGCTCATCTGGAGCTTAGAGCAGGGCTGAAGCCAGAACCGGCTAGCAACTTTTCCCTAGCCGGAGCAGCACCAGAAGCAAGCATCTGAGAGATTGAGCGGAGGATGGGTGCACAGCTGTGGTCACGGTTTCTCTTCTGTTCAGACTGCAACCACACTACGGTGGAACATGCTCATGCAGGCATGATACTCCTAGTTATTCCAATTACTCTAGTTAGTCTGGCTGGTCCCAGTGGAGCCAAGTACACAGCGGTACTGCAACATCCCTACACCCCCACTCTGCTTTTGGGAGGCAGCACCCAAGGCGGTTAACGACCTGCTTTCTGCGCCGGAGATGGCACCACCGGCCGCATTGAGCAAGAAGTGCCTGGGTTTGTTTCATGAAGGGACTCGGGTTTCGGCATTCAGGGTTTAGCTAGGCATTTGGGGCCTTAAGGTCTAGCAATTGTGGCCTAGGGTTTAGGGTTTAGGGTTTAGGGTTTAGTCTTGGGTTTCCCGCGCTGGCGCATTACGTTGCAGATGCAGCGGGAGCGGATTTTGAAAAAATGACGGCACCAAGATTCTGGAAGCTTTGTGCATTGGAAATGATTGAAGTGTGTTGTTTCGAGCACGTAAGTAGTAAAGCAGACATTGTGCGTATGTGCCTCTGTGTATCTATATGCGTCTGTCCATCTAGCTAACCCAATCTGTTTATCTATATATATATATATATAGATGCACGTGCATACACAGCTAGACACACTTACATTGGGCGGGTCGGCTGCTCTACAATGAAGAAACATCACATGCATGCAAGGAGGAGGAGGAGGAGGAGGAGAGGTAGACAGGGAGCGATTTAGGCTTGCGGTTCACTGAGAGGCCAACAGAAAGAGAGATGTATGCCTGTATATTTTGACAGAAAGACCAATGTGCACGTACAATCATACATGTATGCACACACAGCATGCGATATGCAGATGCATGCATGGACCCGCATGGGCATGTGCACATTTTGTATAGCGCGTTTCATTTGCAAAGGGTGCGTTGATTTGTGTGTCTTCATGCACATGCGTAGCCATGCGTCCATGTACATATATCGCCCATTCACGCATCAACGAGTTGAAATCTGAGGTGTGTATGTGCATGCATGTGTGTCTGCATGATTCATAGCCGTATGCACGTGCGTATCTGTGCATGTCAATTAGTGCAGATGTGTGGTGTGCCTTGTACTTCGCGCGACCAAGAAGACTATACAATATAGAGATTTACCCCTAAACCCTTCACATCATGAATCGGACGCTGAAGCCGCTCCATCTGCGGAGTTTGGAACAGTAGGGGTCCCATGAGGGCGCAATCTTGCTCTGAAAGGATCCTGTTACTTCGGGCCTGCTGGGCAAAGCAGGGAAGCGGAAATGCCAGGACGACGTTTCCGGAGAACTGCGCTCCCTGCCAGGAGCTTGGCCCCTGAATGCCCAAACTGCAGATAGTATTCCTTAGTGTTCCCCCTTCTAACTGGACTATAGTATACCTCAAAACCCGATTGTGATATCTCAGTCTCCTATGTTGCATCTTGTGAGGGCAGGGAAGCCCTGAAAACTGAGGCCCTTCCTCGCGGATCCAAAGTTGATCAAGCAGGCGAGGCACGAGCGAGCGAGCGAACGAAGGAATACAGATGCATACGAACAAATATGGGAGTTTCCGAAAATAAGGGGTACCATATTTTGGGGGTCCTTATAAAGGACCCTACTATTTAGGGTACTATATTAGGGTCCCCTATTTTCGGAAACCCCCATATTCTGGACATGTGGAGTCTTTTAGAGCCTGCAGTATACGAAAGGGATCCCAGTCTTTAGACTGTCACGAGACGCGTTGAACACTTCACACCACCTCCTGACCCCGATAGAACCCGGTGAAACCACATAACACCGCCGGAAGACGGCAATCCCGCATAAGGACGGCCGGTTCCCAACGCTTCACAGGAATGAGGCAGGGCGACGTGGTGGGTGACCTGTGGGTTTGCGGGCTGATGAGTTTGGGATATAGGTTAGGGTGGGTTAAACGGGGGGGTTGAGGGTTTAGGGGCTTCAGGTGGAAGGGCGTAGAGGATTTCGGGCTGGGGTCAGCTCGGCCGCTACCCCAAGACTGACCTGCTGAAAGCCGGTGTTCACATCCTGAACCCAGAAAGTGTCAGAATTTTCCAGCTTGACCCGCAGATCCTCGCAGATCGCTATCTGGGACCGCAGGAGAGTCTCGGAGACTTGCTGCTGGCCTTCTTCCAGCTATGGGGCAAAGAGGAACCTGGGGGAGTACCGGAGGGCTTGTGGCTGCTTCCGTGTCATTTCACTTACAGTCATAGGCCCCATAGTAGTTCCTTTTTGGGGGGTACCTTATAGGATTCTAAATATGAACCCCAAAAAGGAACTATTATGGGGCCTACGGGTAGTCAGGCCTTTTGAACTACACTTGAAGTCATTAAGGCCCGCGGCCATCAGTTAGACTGCGGGCTTGAGCCGCCCGAAACTTGCAGGAGCAACGCCGAAACCTGTCAGAAGCCCGGCAGACATTGGTTTCTCAAGCTCGATGCAGACAAGCCAACTGCCAGTTGAAACTGCACCCCAAGCTCCACACCTCGTAAGTCGCTTGTCGCTTACAAGCCGACTGCGTAGTGAAGCCGTACAGCCAGCAAGTCCCCCCAAGTACTTGAAAGAGCCGGATCTCCGAATGTGGCGCCATGTCAGCAGATCGTTTTGCGGTGGACGAGCTTCCAGCAACCCGCTGGGGCTCCCACCACAGGAGCGGAGCTTCCAGGGTTGCAGCAGAAACGCTCTTTGTCTCGGGATTCTGGGTGGCTAGGGTAAGGCGAGTAAGGTCAGAGGTTGAGCCCCGAACGCCCACAGCCCAAACCACTCAAGTCCGGTATGTAGCGATCGCATCCTGCACAGCTTTGCAGTGAAGATTGCTTCTTGATACCTTCGAGGAGATCTCCGGAGGCTGTCAAGCACACCCGGGCTTCGTGGAGGGTTTTAGGGTTTAGGGTTTAGGGTGTAGAGATGACATGAAATGCAGGGACCACAGGCCTAAACGGTTGAAGCTTCCAACATCAAAATCCCGAAAGCCTTGGAAGACCCGTGCCTCAACCCTGAAGCAAACCTCGCAGGTCTTCGACGCGCGATGCGAGGCCCCAAGGCCCAGAGAAGCCGGTGATCTCTGCTTCTTTTCGAGTGACTGGGCCGACATGCAGCTGCCGGCGACACACCGCGTCTCGAGTCGTTTCAGTGGGGCCGCAAAGGGGACTTAGCGTTTGGGGTTTGGGGTTTGGGAAGTCGGGTGCGTGCCTCCCTTTTCCTGGGGTGGCAGGATTCGGAAGATGTTCCTGCCCTCGGTTCGTCATGTGGGTCATCGTTTTGCTCTTTTAACCCGTTCATCTCCATGTTTCATTATGTTCATGAGTTAATCACCCTGTTCTTTATCTTGCAGTTTTCTGGTGCATCGTTTGATGGTCAGTTCATTATCACTTGGTCTACAGTTGTTCATCCTTTCCATCATTCGTTCACAAGGCTGCTGCATGGTGAACAAACGATGCGAATGACAACATCAGAAAAGATAAGATAATCCCATCCCTTACCATTAAACGGAGGGCCCCCCCCCACGGAAAGTGTGTTCATGATTACGGGATAGTTTATTTCTCTACTGCCACTTTTGAGGGGTCTTGCTTCTGCTCCTGCTCTGGCTCTTGCTCCCGCGCTGGCTTTTGCTCCTACTTCTGCTGCGTCTCTTGCTGTTGCTCCTGCTCTGCTCCGACTCCCGCTCTTGCTTTTGCTTTGCTCGTGTTGCTGCTCTTGCTGATGCTCCCGCTTTTGCTCTTGCTCCTGTTCTTGCTGTAACTCCTGCTCTTGCTTTTGCTGTTGCTCTTGCTCTTACTGTGCTCTAAGGGTATTTGAAACCTTGAAACCCTCCGCCCTAGTTCAGAATAGGTCTTAAAGGGCAGGGATGATTTTGGGAGGATTCGCCCCAAGGTGTTTTCATTATTAGGGTGGAGTTTCATACAAGGGGGAAGGGATTAAGCTGATGAAGCAATAATGACGAGGCAGCGAAAGAATCAAGAGCAAACTGAAGCTCCAAACAATCAACCACAGTTCAGTAATTGCGAGGTTTATTGTGTCAAGCCTAAGGATTCCCGATCGACAAGTATCGCATGACGAGGGAGGTGCTGGAGGAGGCCGGCATTCCAGTGCTCGCAGGTCCTTTGGCCACTCTTTTGAGGTAGTAATTCATATCTCCTCACAGCTCCTCTATGACTCTACATACAACATCCCTAGCATAGTTCTTCTGTTACTATAGACTCTAGCACAACATACCCCAAGGTCCTTTGGCCACCTTTGAGGAGGCTTCTTTGGCCCATTCGGATTCCTACGTTCGGAGCATCTTCCTGGGCGAGGCCACGGATCAGATGCGCCGACGTGTCGGCTTCAGGGAAGCCCCGATGCAGGCCTACGAGGGTTCTAGGACTTTTTAGAGTTTTTTGGGCCTCCGGTGCTTTCTCGACCTTTTAGCGTTTGTTGCTGGACACTAAACAACACGCAAGGTTTAGGATGTAGGGTTTGGGTTTCAGGGCTTCAAGCTGCTTTAGAGTTTGGGGTTTTATGAGGCCTATGTGCTCCGGACATTGGCGAGCCTTGGTGCGACTGTGGCTGCTACACGCCACTGCCTCAACAATGGAGTTTGGAGTGGCGCCGTGTCTGGAGGCACGCATCATGCCTTTGCCGACTCCGGCGAGGGGTTCTGTGTATTCAACGATATTGCTGTGGCGGCCCGCCTTGCTCAACGCGAGTTTCAAGTGACGTCAGTCCTTGTCATAGATCTTGATGTGCATCAGGGTAACGGAACCGCGGGAATCTTCCAGGACGATCCTTCCGTGTACACGGTGTCTGTGCATCAAAAAAAGGGCTACCCCTTTTCGACGCGCTGTGCCTCCGACATGGAGATAGACCTGCCTGACGGCTGCGACGACGAGGAGTTTCTCGAAGCTCTGATGCCCATCCGGGACCTGATCGCTCAAAAAGGAGCCGTGAGTAGAGAGCCAGGGTATGCAGGCTTTAGAACTTCGGGAATAGTCTGAGTGAATTTTGTCTTCCGGCGACCGCTGTCCGAACCTGCGAGCTAGTATTGATGAGTAGCGGAGGCCCTTCCAGCACCCAGCAGAAACAAATTACAGGCTCTGGTGGCCAGCACGGACCGGTTCTTTAAAGCCTTAGCCTGCTCCCACGGACAAGGAGTCAAGTACCGGAGATTAGGGTTGATGAGGATTCTGTGGCCCGAAACGCTCTATAAACCCAGAAAGCGTCGACAAAAATCGACATCGGAGGAGGGAGCCGTAGCCTCCTCATCTACCAGGCCGGCGTGGACGGCCTGGGAGGCGATCGCTTCGGACGCTGGGCGCTGACGCGGCGAGGCCTCCAAAAGCGGAACGCTTTCCTCTACTCCCTGGCTTGTGAGTGCCAGATGCCCCTACTTATCACAATGGGAGGCGGATATCACAAAGACATCCGAGAGACTGTGCTCGCCAGTTCTGACGTGTACCTTCAGGCTGCCGAAGCCTGGGAGCAGTGCTCGGAAAAGATCGCAGCGCATCGGTTTCTTTTTGGCAGAGTCAATGCAGAGTTCTCCGTTGTTCTCTGAATTTGCAAGGGGAGTTCAGTTCACCTCTACGCTCTAGAACCTCACATTACCTCAGCAGCCGTTTAATTTTGGGAGTCATGAGTTAAGCCGAAGGTTCTGCGTTCTAAATGGAAGCGGCTTCTCGGACATATAAAACCGGGGCACCCCGTACAAGGACCAAAGGACCAATGACATGCAGCCTGTTTGTTGTTCGGCCATGCTGTTTTCGATGCTTACGTCACAGAGCACCGTATGCCTCGAAACTCGAAACCTTATGCCAAGTTGTTAAGGCCCCTCTCTTAATCACTGTTCGTGGGCAGCCCGGTCTTGTGCCCAAACTCTGAGGAGTTCCGCGGCGGCGACGATGGAAACGGGCAGACCGTGTACGTGTATGATGCTTCCCAGGCAGGGCTGATGGATCGGTTGAGGGTTTTCTGGGATGTCGAATTGCAGAAGGGCCTATCTTTTTGACCCCCTCTCTTTTTTTGGACCCCTCCTCTCCGGTGTCATTCCCTCCTTTCGCTCGCCCTCCCCATCTCTTGTATTTTGCATTCGACCCCTCCCCCCGTCCTATTTCTTTTTTGTTTGACCGGTCCCACCTCTTCTCCGCCTCTCCAAGCAACGGGCAAACTCACAGCCGCACACCTGCAACCGCCGGCCCTGAGTCTCTATGACACTGTCCCCTTACTAACGTAGTCATAGTCTCCACACAGGTTTGCTAGACTGGGCCCCAACCCCTCTAGAATGAAGGCCCCTGTGGTAAACCCCATGAGAACCTGCGACACATAACAAATCATATAAATCCTGTGTCAACCCCATTCCAAAGCTTGAGGCCGTAGCCTCCAAACGCCAGAACCATTGGCATAACTTATGCTAGTGGTAGAACCTGCTATAAAGCCCTGACTGCTTCTCCAATGCTCTAGTCCTGGCACCGCTGGAAAGAGACTAACTCGTTTATTTCCTCGTCCCTGTTTGGGCTTCTTGCATTTGTGGATAATTCCTTTCGAAAAGGCTTGGGCAGAGACGGGAAATAGGCGAGCTCGTTCCGAATGGACTGAAGCGTTTGAGACTTGGGAACAAACAGTTCAGAAAGACCTAGAGCAGTTTAGTGCGGTCAAAGACGAGAAGCGAGGCAGGGGTGCCAAGGGAAACACGGGAGAGGCGGGTTTTGGCCAAATGAAAGCCATGGGGGTTCATACACTCGTGTCTCCTGACAAGGTAGAAGCGTTCCTTCAGCAAAGTTTAGACAACGACGCTCGCCAGGAGGTGAACGATCTGGGAGTTCTGGTGATGAGGCCACCTTTGCGGCTGTGTTCGGTTTCAGGCTGTTTGCTTGCTTTGCCCAGGTGTCCACTGACGGGAAAGAATGTGAATCCGTTCACGACGATGGTGCCTCACCAAGGGACATGTCGTCTCAGAGAAAACACCCCTAGGTTTTGGATCCGTCGATGTTGCATCAGAGACCCTGGACAGGTTTGGCGAGCCATTCACGCGGAATTCGCACGTGCAGCAGAGCTTCTCGAACAAGGCGCCACCGTTCTGCTGCGCCTTGATACATGCCTGTCGGTCCCCAGTTTTCAGCAATTCCAACATTGTTCAGTTCCCGGTCGCTCCCCTGAAAACGATCTTAAAGGGCAGGCTTCCAGGGAGGGCTCCACGGACTCTGTACCTGCTTCAGCCCATGAAGTCTTGCTGTGGCTGAACCTTTGCTACTGAACCGAACGTACCTCTCCCTCCGGCGATACACTGCAGCCCCAACCTGAAACCCACCCTAAACCCTAAACCCTAAACCCTGAAACCCAAAGCTTGAAGCCCCGAGCCGTCATGCCAAAGCCTGCAACCCTTTACCCAAAGAATGAAGCCCCGAAAACCGCCCCTTGCATCGTGAAGCTTTTTAGCAGTTAAAGTCTAGATAAACCCATGTGGGTACTTCTCTAAATTAGGGTCCCTTTTTCCCAAATATAGAAAGGCACCCTCTTATGAACAGGACCCCCAAAGGGACCCTAATT